ACTGGTTCTATTTCCTTCTTTTTTTTTTTTTTTTAAGAGACAGGGTCAGGCCAGGCATGGTGGATCACACCTGTAATCCCAGTACTTTGGGAGGCTGAGGCAGGCAGATCACCTGAGGTCAGGAGGGTGAGACCAGCATGCCAAACATGGCGAAACCTCATCTCTACTAAAAATACAAAAATTAGCTGGGTATGATGGCATGTGCCTGTAATCCTAGCTACTCCAGAGGCTAAGGCAAGAGAATCACTGGAACCTGGGAGGCAGAGGTTGCAGTGAGCCAAGATCATGCCACTGCAATCCAGCCTGGGCAACAGAGCAAGACTCTGTCTCAAAAAAAGGAAAAAAAGTTAAAACGCCCCCATGGACTCTCTCCCCTTAGGTCCTGAATGAGTGAGAAGTAATTCTGAAGATCCACTGACACCTCACAGGAGAGATTCCCGGGTCTAGTTATGGAAATCAGTGTTCTAAAGTCAAGCCCGAGTCTCCAATCGACTGCCAGTAATGAAAATGTTACTTTGATCACATTAGTCTAATTCCTGCATCTATTTCTGACAGAGAACTTGAGGGGGAAACAGAAGAACCATGATTACACATTAAAACAAAGTAACAATTTGCTGACCACTTGTTATATGATAAGAACAGAACATATAAGCATCTCATGTAACAGCCATCCTTGATCCCTCAATGCCAAATGACATCCGGCAGAACTGGCGCTACTCAGGGCTCTCTAATAATCCACGATCTTGAAAAAGAAAAGGCTCTATTCCACGGAATGGGGGAGAAGTGGGGAAGGGGGAAAGAGGGGAAAGAGATAGGGAGAGAGGAAGGGAGGAAGGAATTTTTAAAGGAAAAAGGCCTGGTAAAGAGCAGAAGAATGAATGAATGAATGAATGAATTTTTAAAGGAAAAAGGCGGTATAAAGAGCAGAAACTGGCTCTCCAAGTGAGAGCCTGCCAGCGTCCAAAGACCTTTCCTGTTCCAAGTGCTGGGCACACTTCCATCAGGTCCAATGCCACTAAACATCTGAACCACCCCATACTTCCTCCTTTCCAACTCTCCAAGTACCAACAGGTGAGGCTCCAGCTTCCCAAGAATATCAGCGAGAGAGGACACGGTTTCTGGTCTACCCAATAGCCCTGTGTCTCACTAGTGTTGAGCCAAGTATTCTGGTGTCTATCACTGTCTGTGCGCTTGGCTAATTGAGTCCACTCCTAATAAGCCTGTCTTGTCCACACAGCCCTAAGGTTGAACTGATGCACCTGCTCTCCCCAGACCCCTCAGGGAGCTGCCAAGGTGCCTCTGCCAGCAGGAAGCCAACTTGCAAACATCTTGTTTTGAAATTTCAGCAATAAGCCCAAAATGAAAGCATGACTTTTCACAGTGATCTCCTGCTCTCTCTCTCCGTAAGTGAAACTTCCCTACATTGGAGAAGAGAGAGGGTGTACAATACCATTAACAACAGAATTGATCAAATGACCAGTAAGAGTTACAATGGAAGTGGAACTGCCAGGCAAGTTCCTCATGGATATGGCAGCCCTTACACCAAGGTTCTAACCCTGAAGGAAGAACACCAGGACAACCTGCCCTAAGGTGAGAGACACACAAAAGCACAAATAAAGGTCTCAGCTTTTGGCAAATCTGACATCACCAAGGAAAAACAGCACTTGAGAGGCAAATAAATCAACCTCACTTCTGGACCACACTGTGGGGGAGAAACTCTTTCCATTATGTAATGAAGGTACCCAAATTCCAGTCCTCATTTTGCTACTTAAATAATTATTTTCTTTGAGGGACTAGATCAGGCTTCCAAAAAAAAAAAAAGAGAGAGAGAGGGAATCTGAAATTTGTAAAATTAAAGATTGTCAATGTCTATTCTAAAAGTTCATTTTAAGTTGTTTTGTTTAAATCCTGGAGGCGTTTTCCATAAGAATGTAATAATGCAGGTGGTCTCCGCTGAATAGCACTCAGCAATCTCTTCAACCCAGAAGGCATTTGGGGCTTAAATGGCTGTTCACTCTTTTCCCTACTGACAGCTCACAATGTCATAAACAACTTATTTCTGAAAGACAAAAACAATCTTTATATATCCTCAAACTAAAAGGTTTATATTACAGAAAGTGCATCTAAGTTCCCACCCAGAGTTTAAGAAGCTAGACCCCAACCCTGGGAACCAAGGAAATCATAGATGGAGAAAGATCTACCCCCTCTCCAACCACTCTCTGCCCCTGGCTCCTCCAACTCCCAAACATGAGGAGCCACCACAGCCTGGCCAATACACACTCAACGGCTTTCAACAAACAGAGGCAGTAACTAGCTGGGGCTGAGGAGTGAGTCCCAATTTCTTTGGGTAATAGATGACATCAGTTGAAGTTAGACAATAAACTATTGAAGCCAGTGGGCAATTTTTCAAAGAGTTGTCTTTTAATAAGGCTGTGTGCCGGGCACACAGCTGGTGCTAATATTTAAAGTGAGAGAAAGACTAAATTGCAGGACTTACAGAAGCAACAATGAAATACAGGTACATGTCCACACTTGAGGGTTTTCCTAGAAACCTTCCACTGAAGGAGAACTCACAGAGAAGGTGACACGGTCTTGAATTACAAGGTAAGAGAAAGAATAGTAAGAGATGCTGCTGGGTGCAGTTGCGGTACGTACGTAACCACCTCGGCTCTAATCTATGTCAGAGCTGTTTTAACTACATCCTAAAATGGCTCATACCCAGCTGTGGCTCAGGGCACTCAGGATGGGTCTGCGGAAATGGATCTTCAGCTGCCATGAAAAACCATTCTGTACACTGTAGGTTCCATAGGCCCATTTGGGGAGAAACCTGCTCAATATTTTCCTACTTAGAAATGCACTGTGTACCAATGAGGTTTTCAAATCAAAAGCAAGCGCAGTGGTGTTTCTTTTTAACCCAACTTTGTCCTGTATTGAATCCAAGTTCTGTGTAAGTAACATGCAGATTTCACAAAAAGTGGTGGTGCTGTCCACAGGTCACCTGCATTGGAGTCATATATCTAGATGTGCTAATCTAGGGCCTCATCCTAAATCCACTGGAGTAACTCCCAGAGGCAGGGTCCTGGAAAGAGGCATATTTAATGGGCTCCGCAGGTAATTCCCCTGCACAGTAAAGTTAAAAAAAAAAAACTTTATAATGCAAAGAATCAGAGGTTTGGAGAAAAATGCCTGAATTCATTTCCTCCACAGATACATGTACCAGCCCCTTAAGCTCTCCTAAGCCTCTAATAACAAACTTTAAAATAATGGAAAAATACCTACTCATCACAAGGTTACTGAGTCAAATCAGAATGCATTTGAACTTGCCTGGAAAGGGTAAAAGGGCCAGACAAATAGTACTCATTCAAAACATGTAATGAATGACTAAAAAGCCAGTTGCTGGGGAAACAGATGAGATATAAACACTTGGAAGACCAACATATAAATAATTCTGTATAATGAAATGAATTCAGGGCCTAATCAGTATCTGTATAAAAAGGGCATGAGCCCACAGAGAAAGAGGATTAATTCTGCACTGATAACCCCCAGAAACCACAGATACACAAAGTATGAATGAAGCAAGGCATGTTATAAAATAGTATCACCAATAAGCTGATCCCAACCGATCAAATGGGAACCAAAAGAAATACACAAGCTTCAGAAACATTCTTTATTCTACTACTAAATAAGCCATAGCCAGATTCCAATCCTATCCTGTCTCCATCACACAGAAAAATAACAACCATTTATTATGCGACAGGTACCATACCAGAAACTCTACATTCATTGTTTTGGAAAACCCTCAGAACACCTTTATGACACTGTTGTGATGTGCTGGTACATACAAGAAAAGAATTCCAAGTGGCCAGGCAGTCATGTGAACATGAATTCAGTTTGGTTGACTCTGAAAACATGTCGACCAGGTGTGGTAGCTCACATCTGTAATCCCAGCACCTTGGGAGGCCGAGGCAGGTGGATCACCTGAGATCAGTAGTTCAAGACCAGCCTGGCCAACATGGTGATACCCCATCTCTACTAAAAATACAAAAATTAGCTGGGTGTGGTGGCAGACAGCTGTAATCCCAGCTACTTGGGAGGCTGAGGCAGGAGAACTGCTTGAACCTGAGAGGCAGATGATGCAGTGACCTGAGATTGCATCACTGTAGTCCATCCTGAGCAGCAGAGTAAGACTCTGTCTCCAAAAAAAAAAATCTGTGAAAGTGGAATCCCACCATTTGTTAAAACAGCCACACTCTATGAACTTGTCTTTAAGGAAATTCTGTTATGGCCTTTTGGCAAAACACATCAGCCAGAGTTTAAAATCTTTTCTTCAGGCGGCCCTGAGAAATATTTTAGGAGATTTTAGAAGCAGTACACGGCCCTACCTCATTTGCTGAGATCATCATGATTGTTCTTCTGTCTACTGGAATTTCTGATTAATAGTAAAAATAACAACAGCTAAAATTTATCCAACACTTATACTGTGGTAGGCATTATGCTAAGATGTCCAAATGAACTGCCTCATGAGGAAAGCATTGTCAACCAACCTCTTTGTACAGATGAAAAAACTGAGGTGCAGAGAGATTAGAAAACTTAAGTAGAGCTGGGATTGGAATGTGATCAGCCTAAGTCCACCGCTATCGTTATCTACCATCTTGGCTTTCTGTTGCTTGCACTTACAGTCTGCTGTGACTTCATCATACCACAAAGTTCACGGTCACGCAACTGTCTCAAGACTCTGGACATAAAATTCCCTCAGTACATAAATCAATACAACTGTCACTAATAGTCTAGCAAATGGGTCTTACAATATTAGTCACACATGTTGCAGGAATATGCATCGGTTTTTCCACCTGATTAATTTTCTGGAATCCTGAGCAGCACCATTATTCTAATCCATCCACAAATGCACTCATCACATGTTCAATGTCTACTGCTTGCCTGGTAGGGGTGTTCATAAAAAAGCCCAGCCCCTCCCAACCCGGACTCAGGTTTCCCCTCACCTTCAGCTGCTTGACCTTCTCTTTTCAGCATCTGGACAGCTCCCACATACTTCTTCAGCTGGACTTTGAGTACCTCGTTTTCCCTGCAGGTAGAAAAATGTTAAAAGATATACATTTAAAAAGTGACAACGTGGTCCCTCGGCAAGGGGAGAAGGTGGGCTGTAAATCTGTGTAAAGAAAAACAAAATGTGCATGTTTTTAACGTTAATATATTCTCATGGTTTAAAGATCATCACAGGAGAAGGCTGTGTTACCGAGGGCATGTTTGCAGAATGCCTTTAAGAACTGTTCTTTCACGAGACAGGTAAGCACCAGTTGGTTTCAGTGTCCACAAATTCAGAACATGGACACAGGCTGTGCTTAGGCTGTTTGAAACTACCCATCTATCAGGTGTTTATTCAGTGTCAGGAACTCTAGTCTTCTCTCCGTTTACAAAAGCATGTACTGAGCACTATACATTCACCCTAGGGAATGCTCTTAATCTTTTTATCAACTGTGACATGTAGTAAACATTTATTATCTGCCAGGAGTCATGTCGTGTTTGTATGGTATCTCCTTGAATCCTTCCAAGGCACTAACACAACCTTCATTTTACAAATAAGGAAAATGAGGCATAAGGAGAAGCAGTTTGACCAAGTCCACGTCCATCCCCATATAAGATTATACCAAGGAGCACCGAACCCAGGCTATGACAGGACCCCCACCTACTGAATTCACTTCCCAGGTACACTGGCTGACAACAGAATGTGAGGATCAATGGGGAAAAAACCCATTTGTTGAGTATTTAGACTTTACATATGTCTCTCTGAATCAAGCGTGCATCCATCCATTCAATCGTCCATTCATTTGTCATTCAGTGGAAAGATGCTTCATTGAGTAGAAAAATGCACAATGACCTGCAGTATTATCCGCATTTTACAGGACAGGAGTTGGTTGAGTAAGGTTTCTGACCAAGGACGCCAGTAAAACACACTAGTAAGATCTGAACCCAGGTCTCCCTGCCCCCAGGTGAGGACTTTGTGCCATCTTCTTTAAGATTCAGACTTGGTTCCCGACCAGCTCTACCAGAGGGAAGTACCTCTTCCACATTTTCTATTTCTGCCTCCACCCCCTACAACTCAGGTCTTCAGCCTGAGTGCCTTTGAATGTGCTATAATATTTTTTCCTTCCTTGCACTGAAAAGAGCTGAAGACTGGGTTTCTTCTGTGATAATAAAAATAAAAATGCTCATTGCAAAATACCCAATCAGAACACATTTAAGAAGATAGGCAAAAATATGCGAAGACCCCAATGCCTTGAAATAAACCCCATTAACATTTTTATATCCATCCTATTATTTCTCTAGGTGCACACACACACATCCTAAATAATTTTACGGAGATTAAACATTCTTCACATTGATTTACTTTGTGTATTCACACAATGTTTGAGGCTTTTTTTTCCCTTGCTTACTGTTCCCTTCAACATTTCCCCATGGTAACCAATGGTAAAAACCTAGCATATTCCTTTCAGGCATTCCTCCATGCTCTGACAATCACTATCAATCCAATACATTCAGAGCTTCTAAGACAGAATATTATCAATTTTTCTGAGACTAAGTTGTGTCATGTAATAATGCACCACAGTAAGCCTCTCGGTCTATCTACGAATGGAAATACCACATACTGGTATAGATACACCAAACACTGACTTAGTTGAAAAACTTGAGACTGCTCATCCCTGGGGCTGAGTGTCTGTTTTCCATGCATCTGACTACATCTCAGCCCACGACGACAGCATTTTCTTTGTATTTTGCTTCTCTGTGCTGTATTTTGGCAGATAAAAACATCAGAATCAAACTCAGACACTACTATAGACCTTAGAACTCTATCTTCGTCTCCGAAGCTCTGGAGAAAGTAAGCCACAAGGGAGTCCCTTAGTTATCCCCTCATCCTAGACAAAGCCTGTCATGGATGCCTCCACAGGTGTTTGCACTTCTTCCATCTGTGACATGAATAGCAAATGTTTGAAACTAAGTAACAAGCCCTCAAAACGTTTATGAGAGAAAATCTTCCCTGATGGGGATTGTAGAGCATGGTTTTTTGTTTGTCTGTTTCTGAGACAGAGTCTCACTCTGTCGCCCAGGCTAGAGTGCAGTGAGGTGATCTTGGCTCACTGCAACCTCAGCCTCCCGAGTTCAAGCAATTCTACTGCCTCAGCAACCCGAGCAGCTGAGATTACAGGCACATACCACCATGTCTGTCTAATTTTTGTATTTTTAATAGAGACAGAGTTACGCCACGTTGGCCAGGCTGGTCTCGAACTCCTGACCTCAAATGATCCACCCACCTCAGCCTGCCCAAGTGCTGGCATTACAGGCTTGAGCCACCAAACTATAAAGCATGTTTTCTAGGATTCCTTTAGCCATCATCCCGCAGCCCAGCCTGCCCCCAGTCTCCACATGTGAATTTAAGTCACATATCTTAAAACAAGGGAAAGAAAGCAATTTATACACATTTCTAAACCATAGTTCATGGAAGAACATTTTCCGAGAGGCCCCATGACCAACACAAGCCATGTCAATGTCTGGCGGCCAGATCTCCTGTCACTTGCTTATAGTAGTCAGGCTGATCCTCAGCTTCCCTGTTCAATTTCAACTCTGTGACCAGCACTAAAATGCTTCAAATAGCTGCTTTTCTACTATTTTGAAGAAATCTTTTAATAGTGTGTTAAGAATCCATCTAAAAATCACACCTGGGTGGGTGCAGTGGCTCACACCTGTAATCCCAGCACTTTGGGAGGCTGAGGCAAGCAAATCACTTGAGGTCAGGAGTTGAAGATCAGCCTGGCCAACATGGTGAAACCCTGTCTCTACTGAAAATATAAAAATTAGCAGGGCATTGTGTTGCGCATCTGTAATCCCAGCTACTTGGAGGCTGAGGCAGAAGAATCACCTTGAACACAGGAGGCGGAGGCTGCAGTGAGCTGAGATCATACCACAGCACTCCAGCCTGGGCAACAGAAGGAGGCTCCACCTAAAAAGAAAAAAAAAAAAAAAAAAAACCTAACACAATGAAGCCAAGATTTCTAAAACAAATCAGACATAAATCAAAAGGATGACAAACCAGCCACTGGATGGACAACTTCGGGAGCCACAAATTCACCCCAGCCAACTTTGTACCAGCAAAATTGTTTGACTTTGTGAGAAATTAACACTCTCAGGTCTCTGGACCACCGAAATCCCTCTGAATGAAACTCAAACATCTGGCTGGCATGCTGACCACTTCCAGGGGAAACTGGCTCTGGCTCTGACCCCCAGAATGTACTAAATCTTGCTGGGTTTGAGGGGGGCTTTGAGACAGGGTCTTGCTCTGTTTCCCAGGCTGGAGTAGAGTGGCACGATTATGGCCTACTGCAGCCTCAGCCTCCTGGGCCCAGCCTCCTGAGTAACTGGGACTACCAGGCTATGTTACCATGCCCAACTAATTCTTTAATATTTTTTTGTAGAGACAGGATCTCCCTACGTTGCCAAAGCTCATCTGGAACTCTTGGCCTCAAGCGATCCACCCATCTTAGCCTCCCAAGATGCTGGGATTACAGGCATGAGCTACTGCACCTGGCCTCGTTTTTTCATTTTTATTTTGAAACAACTGTCAGGTTCAAAGGAAGTAACAGAGATCATACCAAGAGGTCTTGCATACCCTTGGCGCAGTTTCCCCCAAAGGTTTATCTTATGTAACTACAGGGCAATATCACAACCAGGAAATGGACCAGGGCACAGTGTGTATAATTCTATCCATGCCACTGTTGCGTAACTTTTGCTCCTGAGATTCCTTTGCCATAGAGCATCTCTTAGGATGGAACACAGATTTGAAGACCCACAGCAGTCAGACAGGATATGCCAATGAGTAAAACAAACCAGGCCTGAGATACAGGGAGAGGGAGCAGAAGCACAGCAAACCAGAGAGCTTTGCCCTCACCCTAGCAGGTTTTTTTTTTTTTTTTTTTTTTTAACTTAGTGTGCTACCATCCCAAGAAAATAATTCCCAGAATTTAAATGACTAATTTGCAACCGACAGGACTTGAATTTGTAGACAGAAATCACACAGACCTTACTGGTCTTATCACTACATAGGTCTCCATTATGATCAAATAAAAATGCCTTTTCATGTGACACCTCCTGAGATCATGAAATTGATCAGATAATTAAATGCATTTGACCTATGAAAGTCCTCAGAAACCTTCTGAGCATGTGTCAAAGAGATACAGAAATAATGGCTGAGCCAATCGCAACACAACTATGTCCCCCGAAGCCTGTCAGCCTCAACAAGACAGAAACAAGATAAGCAAGGAAGACCACAGGTCTGCACAATCTCTTGGGTGGTTAAGACTCCTGTGCAGCCGTCAACAGGATCCTCTGGACCACGTAGCTTTGCTAACAGATGCTAAGAACTTCCCCCAAGTTATGGAGCTCAAGCCTCTGCTTCCAACCCCCTCATATATGTAAGCAGTAGCCACAGGTGAGCTTTAGAAAATATGAATCAACAGCCTCAAAAACTGTATACCTTCTGACCCAGCAATCTACTTTTAGCAAACTGTACTCAGAAAAGAAAGAGAAGTCTTAAAACATATGCATGAGGATGTTGTGAATATAAAAGACACTGGTTACAAATTATTTGCCTGATAATGTGGGAGTGGGTGGAAAAGTTACGGCACATCCTCCTCTAATAGGATGCTATGGGACTGTCAAAGTTATGATAAATAAGCATGTTTATCCCCAGGGATGAACATTTATAATAGACTGATATACCATTAACTGAATGCATCAGAGTACAAAGTATATTTACTATAACTCCTTATACCTATTTAGAGGTATATGTTTGCACTGGAAACAGAGATCATAATGTTAACAATGCTCATTTCTATATGATAAAATAGGAAATTTTTACTTAATTTTCCAACAAAGTATTTTTTAAAATGTATTGAGGGTAAGATTAGAAATACCCACCCCTAGGCCAGGGGCAGTGACTCATGCCTGTAATCCCAGCATTTTGGAAGGCTCAGGTGGGTGGATTACCTGAGTTCAACAGTTCGAGACCAGCCT